ATCTTGGCTTTTGGAGATGTCTCAATCAAGCAATAGTGTGTGGAATATTTTCAATTCCTATTGCTTGAGTTGCTGTGTTGCTCCTGCAGAACCGGTGCTGTCTGTGCTGTGACCCTGGAATTGCCGGTCCAATTTCCGGTCTATAATTCCAGTGCCGCTGTTTTGTTCGTAACTTGTGTGTGTTTCGCGTTCCTTCTTTTGCCATAGGTTTCTACCGTTCCAAGTAACTTATATAGGTACTCTTTGTCACCAGTTGGCTTCGGTATTTTAGATTCGGGAACTTGCTTCTTCTCAGTAGGAGTTGGGTATCTCATTTTCCGTCCTTCGGTTCGGGAAGCGATCTTTGCTTGTTTGTGGTATCCCGATGTGTTCTTAGGGAACATCCACCCACTCATTTGGGTCGTGGACATCGCGGTGTTTGGTTTGCGTGTTTGGCGGTGATTTTGGGACAGCGGCCCAAAGTTACGAAAGAAATTTGTGGCTCTCATTCAGCTCCCTCTGGTCGCCGTTTTTGGTCCTTTACAACCAAGAAGCTGTAAGACATTGAGTCGGAGCCAACAGGTGGCAACCGTGAGCTACATCGCCTATAAGAGCATCTGGGGTCCAACCGAAGCCCACCTACGCCATTTGGGGGAAGGAAGCCTCAAAGGGGGAGAACCATCAAGAAGAGCACGAGGAGATCCAGAGGAGGATATCAAGGTCCCCACAGCCTAGCATATGATGAGGCGAAGCACTCAAGTGAGCTAGAGGACGACATTGCAAGTCGTTGATGGTGAGCACCTGGCAGCAAGCAGTGTGTGCATAAGCCAAGGGGTAGGAGGGTAGTCAGACCAATAACAAGATGGGGTGGGAGAGCACAAGGTCGTGCCGGGCGCGAACGGAAGCAGGCATGCTTGTATCAATGCCTTCACTAAGGAATGTGATGTCCACAGACGCCACCGTCGATGACCGGAGCACCACGCTTGTAAGGGCTTTCACCCCAAGATCTGCCCAACGGATGTAGCGAGCTCAGAAGGAACTGAAATCTACAACGATGCCTCTAGGGAGGGATATGATGCAAAATGCGCCATCGTCGCTGTCCTGGAGCAACAGCCAGACAGGGTTTTCACCTAGATTCCATATGCATATGGAAGCAACGCAGACACAGCGCGACAAGCCGAGTTTGTCGACGACGAGTAGAATCCAGAGGGGAATAGTGACGTTGGAGACTTGTCACCCCCACTGCAAGCACCGACACACCGCTACTGGAGCCCTGCTGCTGTCGCCGCTACCTGGATGAGGAAGATGTCGTCGTCTAACCTGAGGCGCTTGGTCGCGCGATGAGCTCGGCCATTATTGTTGCGGCGGAGGCGGAGCGGAGGGAGTGGGCAGCACTCTGGCCGTTGCCGCCCGCCGCGCCGCATGGCGGAGGGAGTATACCGCTAGGTCGGTGTTCTGCCAGAGGCCGCGAGGTACCGCCTTCTTCGTGCCAAAGACGGCGAGGATGGGGAGAAGGTCTCTCGCGTCGGGTGCGACACCGTTGGTGGCATGCCGCATGAGCAAGCAGACCACTTGGCTTCGCGGAGAAGGTCGGATTTGCGATGAAGCGGTGACGGCGGCATTGTATGCCTTGAGGTCAGGCCGACCACGTGGTGCGCAGGCCGGGAGAAGAGTGCCGGGGCCTTGGGCGCGTCACCGAGCTGTTGCATGCGCCGCTCCACTATGCCGTCATCACCCACGAGCACGACGAGCAACGGTCCCGCTGCGTGGGCCACGCCACCTTCAAGCGTCGCACTCTCCTTGTGCTTAGATCCAGCAGTAGGCGGCCGCCCACCACCGCCACTACTGAGCCAAGACGCGTGGGCAAGGCCGCCGACCGCTGCCCATCCACCGCCGCCGGCAGTACAAGGCTCTTCAAGCACACCCGTTGCTCTGTCCGCCCGCCATGCGCCGGATCCGGGGTGGGGGTCGCCGGATCCGGGCTCAAAGGACTCGGATCCGCCGTTTCAAGATCTCCGTTGGCCAACCTTGCTGCCAGAAAAACAAAGATCGATGGAGGCGGTGGAGAAGAGGAGAGGAAGGGGGAGATGGGGAGCTGCTACGGGAGGGCCTTTTGGGGCACCGCAGTGGGCCGCCGCCACCACTATCCGGAGAGCGGCGGCGGTGGCTCAGTGCCCCCGAGTCGCCTGTATGGACGATGCACGAGAGGTTGCTATAAAATATTTATAAAATATAGTCATTATGAAACTAGAGGTGTATCCCTGCAGCCGCAGCCGCTGCTGCAACAGCAAGAATCTCAAGCAAACGGGGGTGTCATTTCAAGACAAATCTACTTACATCACTTTCACATTTTCAAACACAACACAAAAGAATTTATTTCTAGTTAATGTTCAAAATGTTTGGCTTTGGACAAGCTCAAAATGACTTGCTTAAGGAAACCCAAGGGAGTATCAGTTCGGGTTCTACAGACTCCTACAGGGCCGGGCTTTAGTTCCGGTTGGCAACCGGCTTCGATACTGATTGATATGCCAGCACAGCCAAAGTGGTAGTGATGCCTAAAGGCATTAGGCATCACTGTTGGTTGGCATAACCAGTACCGAAAGGACCTTCGGTACCGGTTGGAACTATGAACCGGCAGGGAAGGTGGGTGCTTGGGTGCCGGTTGGACACACCAACCGGTATGGAAGCTGATTTTACAGTTAAAATAAATCATTTTAATTGTTTTATTTTATTTTACATATTTCTATACACATAGATATCGACACAGAGACCTATATATACATAAGCCGATTCAAGTTGACATATATTTACACAAGTTACTTTACATGTTTATCTCCATAAGTCAAATAAGCCAAACAATTTAATCAAATTCAACACATGTTCATCTACACATCTAATTTTCGCGAGTTGGCCTAGACGATGAAGGAGCTTTCTTTGAACTTGGCGTGCCGATATTTTTTCCTTTGCCTGAAGATTCCACGCCAGTGGGTTGACCTGACAATTTTATAGAGATGGTAGCACCAATAATACACAAGTTACAAAACATTGGAACATACACACGATTTTCACTCACCTTGCGGCATCTTTCTGTGTAATTCTTCATTGAAGTTATCTAGCTGGATCATAAAATTCGCCTCGTGGATTTGACACATGCTGCCGTAGGAATCCAGCGAATTGCTCTTGGATGGCCAGCACATATCGACCTCTAGTTGAGCTCTTGTTTCTAATTTCAATCGCTGCGTTTGGAAGATAATACTGCAAACGTTAGCTATCCTATTCCTCATGAGAGATGGAAGACTGCAAGTAATTAAGCACATGCTGATCTTTGGCGAACCAGGTGTCATACTCTGGATTGCGGATCATCTTCATCGGCTTGTCCACTGACTTGGCGATTTCCTTCGCTTGTCCACAGAGGGAAGTTGTTCTTCGCGAGCTTCTCGGTGTCGGGATACCCGATGGAGACCGAGGAAGCAGTAGCAGAAGAAGAAGCTACACTAGTAGAGAACAGACCTTTCATCCGAGATCAAAATGGGCTCTAGTCCCAGCATTTTTTTTCGCCCGGGACTAGAGAGACCTTTAGTCCTGGTTGGTGTCTCCAACCAGGACTAAAGGTCCCCTGCCCAACGGCTACTGCACTCGGCACAGTGGCAGGGGACCTTTAGTCCCGGTTGGAGACACCAACCGGGACTAAAAGTCCTCCAACCTTTAGTCCCGGTTGGTAACATCAACCGGTACTAAAGGTAGACCCTTTAGTTCCGGTTGGTAACACCAACCCGGACTAAAGGACCCTTTAATCCCGGTTGGTAACACCAACCGGGACTAAAGGTCCCCCGATGGGTTAGTTCAAAAGGAAAGCATCCCATCCATTGTTAGATGTGTTGTGTAGGTGGGGTGGTAAGCTACGCGCGAGGCAATGCATGAGGTCTTGGGTTCGAATCTCACGGGACACAGCGGTGGGAGGCATTATTTTTTTTAAAGCTGGGAGGATCTTTAGTCCCGGTTCCTGATCCGGGACTAAAGGGGCCCGGGACTAAAGAGGACCCCCCTTTAGTCCCGGATGCTTGCTCCCGGGTGGGGAACCGGGACTAGAGGGGGTTCCCCACCGGGAGTAAAGCCCATCTCTGTATCAGTGCTATAAACTAGATTGTGAAAATGGGTGTAACGTATGTATGCCTTCTTAGGCTCACAGTTCCGTATTAATATAGCTAGGAACAGCCCCTAGCATGCCACTTACAACTTGTACAACAAGAATACTCTAGATCTAATTACAACCACAAGATTACAAGGCATGCACGGCTGTGTGGGCAGGAGCAGTCGTGGGCGCACGACTTGACTGTGATGGCCAGGCCCAGTCATTGCGTGGGATCGGCGTTGACATGGCCAAGCCTATTGCATGAGATCTGCTGATTCTAACACCCCTCTTAGGCGTCACGGTCCCTACATACCACTGTTCAAAATGGGCTGAAGAAGCTGTAGACATTGATTCGGGTAGTCTTTGCGAAGTTTGGATGGAGCTTTAGGAATCGTATTGCGGACTAGTTTCTTTCCTTATATGCTACGCTCACTAGCTAGGCTGAAGTTTGTTTTTTACTTGTGGTGTGCAAGCCTTATGGTTTTGATTTCTATTCTCGACTATCAGCTGTGTACTATCTGCGGATGGTAGAGGCTGGAACTTTGTTCCTTTATTAAAAAATACATAGGATTATGCAAGGGATAGCCACATAAACGGGGGAAACAAATCCAGCGACGACGCTAGGCGCGAACCCGTTGGAAAGTACACATGCATCCTCACTCACATATGAACAATAATCAGCTCGACAAACACAGATCGATGCATAGTTAAGTAAATGACACCCAACTATACATAGGATTATGCAAGGGATAGCCACATAAACTGGGAAAACAAATCCAGGGAGCGACGCTAGGCGCGATCCCGTTGGAAAGTACACATACTCACGTACATATGAACAATCAGATCGACAAACACACTTCAATGCATAGTTAAGTAAATCACATTACTACTAGTCAATGTAGTCATCCTGGTCGCGCACAGGGTTTGGTTGGGCAGCCTCGTAAATATCTAGTGCTTTGTTCTTGCGGGGCAGGATGCCCTTCAATGACGGCCAGTTTCTAGGAACGATCTCCTTGGGACCCCCAATGATGTAGTGGTTCGATTCCCCAGGGGTGAAGTTAAAAAGAATATAGTTGTTATCCTTGAACAGGTAGGCGTCTTTGTGCACGTGAGAGGCAAGGGCAGCTCCAATGTCTCTTGTGAACAAGTCGCAGTTGCCAAAGCACTTGAACCCATCTATTATGGGACGTTTCTCCACCAGTATCAGCTTGGAATAGTCGATGACAGCATACTCTGAACCTTTGAAAAGGTAGGATTCCCCCGTCACAGTGGATTCAAATGCAGCATCTATCCCCTTCTCAAAGTTGGTCCCTTCAAAGAACGGAAACATCTGCCTGATGGTTTTAGGACCTTGTATAATCCGGTCCTTACTGGTCCGTGGCGCAAAATTTATCCTTGCACAAAGATTCCCAGAAAAGATCATTGCTTCACTACTAGGACGGAAAAGCCCGTCATTGTCATGGCAACCAAAAGCAGCATCTATCCCGTACTCCGCAAAAGAAGTACCCACAAGTGAGTGGAAAATATTACCTATATACTTTGGGCCACTGATTATTTTGTCATCTCTTGTTGCAGGAGCATAGTTCATGACAACATTCTCTTCCTTAATGAAAATATAGGCTTCATTTTTCCGTGTAGATCGAAATGCTGAGTCGACGTAATTGTCTACATCAGTGACCCCCTCTGTATAGTACTTATTCACCTCATCATTTGCCCCGTCCACTGACAACTGTCCATCTGGGACTTCCTGAATTACTAGTTCCCTTCTCTGATTATTTTCGTCCAGGTAATGGCAAACTGGGCTCTGTATTCTGAGCATCCTCTCTGTATGTGAATAAGGATTGAAATTCCTGTTTCTGTATAGAATGTTATTCACTCGTCGCCGCCTTGTACAGTTCCTGCAAATTTAACAGGATAGAGCAAGTTCATGGTCAGCACTGTAATTGTCTCCCTGCAAGACCCATTAAATACTCTTTTATGGGAAAGACTTTGTTTTGTGCAGTTAAGACATAGTTCTGGCAAAAAACAAAAAAACAAAAAAAACCAACAGTCATATCGATTCTATGTCCAACTTATTTGTGCTTTGTTTTACTTCTTAGGTCACAAGAGAATCTATTTCAAGGAAACTTTCTTCCCCAAGCAAGAGTCTTCTTATTAGGTTTTATCAGGCAAATTGTCTTCTAATGTCAAAATATAATGTGCGACCACATACACTCCAAATTAAATGCTTTCAATAAATTTCTTAACTATTGTACACCAAAACAAAGCTTTGAAAAAACATCAAATGTTGCGTATCATAAGTTAAGGTTGCAATATCACAAGGTGGGGTTTGAAGGTACACCGACCTGTCATTCGTGAGCTGGAAAATTTGCGCAGATCGTATATATTGAGGAGCAATGCCAGCAGGAAAGGCAACCTCATCTTGGGTACTGTAGCTATATCTGTTGCCCAATGTTTGCGAAACCCATATCCCTCCAGGAGCATATATCTCATAACGGTACAAGAGATCTACGCTGCCAGGTTTGACACTGGGATACCAGGAACTACTTATTGTAGTGCTAACATAGACATGAACTGTGTCACTTCGAGTGTCAAGAGGCCTACCACCAGTAGTCACATAATTCTCTAAATTAAAGTAACTTTCATCTGGACAACCTTTGACTTCACGCCTTGCTTTGAGTCCATTTCGAAAGACAAATTCATATGGGGCTTTATCCCATCTGAACACATGACGCGTGATATCTATTTCCCCATCACTACTTCTATACTCAATGGCAGGCAAATTTGAAGAAATCGAGCACCTGAAATGTGCAAAATGAGGAAAATATATTTGAGTTAAAAATATTAATTAGGCGGGAATGCTAAAGTATAACATGAAATTCCTTACAATCTTAAATATTTAGGTGACCATGTTAATGCATGCAAGTTAATATAATATCTGGGTCAAGGGATCCCGAGTTTAAATCCTGTCACCCATTAATAAAAATTATAGCCCACTTCGATCTGTTCCACATCAACTAAACTGTGGGGATACATTACAGCTTCCACATGGACCCAAGTTTCTGTAGGGCAACAAGTTATTCTAGTTGATGTGTACCTGACATTGTAATTGTAGATTGCTTCTACTAGGGACAGAGCTGCAAGTTCATCTGTCCTGTTCACAGGTTGGCGAAAGAATGCAGCAGCACCTCTACATGGTGAGTCTGGCGATATCGACATTAATAAGATTGAGCTTCTGAGGGAATACCTGCAACTGCAAATTGTACAATAAACATCTTTCTTGGTACATGTGCACTTGACACGTGCAATAATACTTCTTACCTGATCTCAGTAATAAATCCGTGGTGTGACATGATCCCAAGTGAAACTTGGCCAGGAGGGCTATGTCCGCTAGAACAACCAACTGGGCTACGCGTGATTTGAGTAAAATAACTACTTGATAGAGCAAGTAGGTTATCAATAAAATCTAGAGTCCAAATCTCTCTCAGACTTATACCATTTGTCACTAATATCCGGATTTCTTGTCTTTCTATTCTTTTATTTTTAATATGGGGCAGCGAGCTTCATCGATCTGTCACTCGCCCTCATCAGCGCGCTCATCTTCTTTTTCTCTGACTATACATCTCTCCGGTGACCTTACTTTTGCAAACATTTGCCCCCAAAATCCCATCACTTTACTGTTTTCCTCATCTTCTAGCTTAAATAAAACTGTTAGATTCCTCTACCATCTACTAATTCTCATCCATCCCCAATTCTTCCTCACCTCCATTGCATATCACAAATGCATTATGTACTTGTTAATTGCTCCTCCCCAGGATCAGTTTTAATCTTCCATGTGGATACAAGATCATTAATGGCGAAGTGTGGTTTTGGTGATCCCTATCTGCGGTTACATATGCATGCTTGTCTTTGACGTGGTCGCGTGGGTAATGGGAAGTATGATTAACCTTTCTTGTGATGCGCGCTTTGCTTCCGATTTCTTCAGCTTCGCCTTGCTTCTCCCTTATTGTCCGGCTGTCTATCCTTCTTCCTCCTTCACTTCCCTCTCCTTTAAGCTTGGCTGTTTGGGTGCGAGCGGCAAGGCTTTTGTTGTGCTCACTGTGGATGATGTACTTATTATGAATCTTTTGGCGGAGTGAAATGATTAGTGCTATGCTTTCAAGTCGCGCACACACGTATATATATATATATATATATATATATATATATATATATATATATATATATATATATATATATATATATATGTGTGTGTGTGTGTGTGTGTGTGCGCGTGCGCGCGCGCGCGTAGGCTTGTCATATACTCCATCTGATTTTAATTGATGACGTTTTGACAACCCTTTTAGTTCACTTTTAAGCTAAGAAAGTTCTCCTAATGTCATCAATATAATTAAAAACCGTTGGGAGTGTACAGTATACTCCATCCGATTAGAAATAGTAGATGCACTTGATCATTTCGTTAGCACAAACATTTGAACAAACATTTCTGACCATTATTTTTTGACACAAATTATAGTCACAACTAAGTATTTATTATGTTTTAATAGAGTAACTGTTGGTCAAAAGCTTGTTTTAGTGAAACAGAATGCACCAACTATTTCTAAACGGAGGGAGTATTGCACAGTGAACCATAAAGCAAAGGATTGATGACATATGTGATGGCGTAGAAAAGCTTGTAAGTGACGTTGATAAAAGTCAACAGTGATGGGTATTTCCATCATCTAGGTGCGTCACTAATGAGTAGTCATTAGTGATGGGTAAACACACCCATCGCTCATAAAGTCATTGGTCTAATGACTATAGATCAGGAAAATAAATACAAATTTCCAAAAATAAAAAAAACGTTAGGCTATTTTGTCACACAAGACTCATTTTTATACAATAATAATATGCCGTACCTATGGTTCGAACTTGCGACTTCCATTCCCATTCCCACTCCCAGTCCCATGTGCACCGAGCTAGCCATCTCACCCAAGGGGTACCCAAACTTTAAGGTAAATATTCGAATTACATGACTTTGAGTAAAAAGAAACTTGTAACTACAGTTGTTGATTCATTGAGATTTACAGTTATCATATAAAGTTCATAACCAGCAGAATTTATATGAAAGGGCTGCAAAAATCCAAAAATATGGTACAAAAGTCATTAGTGACGCTTCCAGATTTGAGTCATCGCTAATTACTATGGCATTAGTGACGGCGGATATCTGGTACTAATGACTTAATAAAGAATTAGTGATGGATCGAGAGTTTACATGTCACTAATGTTAATAGTCATTGTTTTTATGGAGAATCGTCGTCACTACCTACTCATTAGTCATGACCCTCTACCGGCCTATGGCAACATTAGAAACGGCCATGTTGTGACCCATCACTAAATATATCATTAGTGATACGTCACTTTAAGACATCGCTGATAGTGATGTGTAGCTCTTAATATACATATATACATTGCAATGTAGTTTGCTCCTTTTTTTTTGACAATTTTATTTATTTCTACATTCATTCTTTCTGTGTATAAATTCATGCGGGCTTTGTTATATATTGTTTGATTGGTAAATGGCCTATTTAATTTCATAATATGAAAAGGTTGTTGAATGTTGACGCATGTATGCCAGCTGCTATTATAGTTACTAGAAGAACACCTCGCACGTTGCTGCGGGAATCGCTAGTAAAATTATACTACTTATATTTACTAATATGATTGAATAAATATTATAATACATGTTAGTAGATGATTTTTAGCATTCTGATATGGACAACTAAATATATATTAGTAAATGATGTGGTTTGCTAATGTCAATAGCTTGAATGAAGACATAATGGCATGTGTTAGTTGGATGTGTTAGTGGATACTAATGTGGATACTTTGCATGGTGAGATAGTTGAATGTGCTAGTGTGATGTTCTAGTGGATACTGATGTGGACACTTTGCATGTCAAGATAATTAAATTGCTAGTGGGGTTTATCTTTATAAGAGATATAGATATCTTCAAGCCAAGACTACAACTATGTGTTAAGCAACATTTTTTTAAGTGAATATCAGTTCTATTTTTTTATTAATTTTCTCCATGTGTTCATTAGCCCCATGACAGGTTTACTCTAATAGAAAATACATAATTCTATTTTTTTAACAAATTCAATCTAGCTGCTAATTTGTAATGCTGCATGCTCTCTATACTTTTTACCTAAAAATCTTTTGCATCTTTTGGTTATATTTGTCAAAAGACTACCTCAAATCCCGCAGCAACGCGCGGGGAACCACCTAGTTTAAATTAGTTTATAGACCAGGTGGAGACTTGGAGAGGAGCTAGTGAGCACAAGCCACAGCTGGCTTTCTGTCGATGGGCTTGATGCTCCATTATTTGCTTGGGTGGCGGCAGATGGAATCGATCCTCGCAAGTTGATGGAATTGATTAAAAACGAAAATGCTTGCTCTGAGTGTGTCACTAGTCTTCCCTGCTTATGGAATTGATTCAACGGAAATGCTTGCTCCGAGTGCGTGTCTCTTTCTTGATCTTGGAATTGACTTGGAGAGGAGCCAGTGAGCAAGTGCCTGGGTTCGATGCTCCATTATTTGCTTGGGTTGTACACATGGCAGATGGAATCGATTCTAACGGCCACATCACACCGGAAAACTCTATGGATGCGAAGTTTTTTACTACTACGAAAAGCCTAGGAAGACAATTCTCACTTGAGCGCACGGCCACGATGCACCTGGCATCCAACCAATCCCATGAACTAGTTAAACACTTGAACTGTTCATTCTGCTAGTTTGCTCTTACCCTTGAACTGATTCGACAAACCAACTTGAGGCTTGTACGGCCTGTGAGACCCTACAAGGCCACCAACTTGAGGCGAATCTTGTGCTTGGGGAAGAGAAAGCTGAGCAGGTCTCACGTGAAAGTAATGTTTCGTAGGAATTGCTTCGTGTGTATAGCAAGATCCAATCACATTTCTTTATGCTTATGGAATTGATTCAAAGAAAGTGTTTGCTCTGTTGTGGCTCCCAGTGAACACGTCCTGTCTTGTGCTTCTGAAAATTTATTCAACGAAAATGTTTGCTCTAAATCCGTGGTTGCAGCGCGGACACGTCCCACCGACAAACGTGTACCTGTACAGTAAACTCAAACTTGTACTGTACAGCCCGTCCATAAGTGAAGTACCAAATAAGGCAACTAGAGTCTAGAGGTGGGGTGAATGGGAGCTGTCGGATATATGACCCCGGAGTATCTTCACCACCCGTATACTCAATCCATGCTCGTCTACCGGGGCGAAGACGACGAGGGATGAGACCCACGAAGGCCAGGCGAATCCACTAGCTTGGAGATCAAGACATTCTGAGGATATCTGGCGCCATCATATCTACGCAATAGGATATAATCATTCTGTTGCGCATTCCAAGCGATAGGAAGTCAATTTGTTAGCAGATCGGATCTACTGTAACCCTACCCTCGGACTATATAAGGAGGGGCAGGGGCCTCCCGATCCGGATCCATCTTTTACATTCTAGCGCATATCTACACGCAGCAGCCCCTGTAACCAAGCATACGAATACAGAGAAGCTACTTCACACTAGATGTAGGGCACCACATGCTGAACCCAATATAATCCCTGTGTCTTGTATGCTACCCATCTTATTTGTCTTACGCAAATAGCTGCTAAGTATTGCCGGAGCTAATTCTTCTAATAGTTGGTGCGCCAGGTAGGGGCCTTTCGCGTACAGATCCATTTGTGTTTCAGATGGGCCTCATCTTCAAGTTTGGCGACGATGCTAAGAAGATGCAGCCGGGTGAAAAGATCTCCTTCGGCAACCTCGACTTCATCACCGATCGACTCGGCAACCTGCGCTTGTAGGAACTCGAATCATCCGAGCAGGAGGAGGAGGAGCCACCCTCGGTCCGTGCATTCATCGTTGGATTTGAGGAGGTTGTAGATGGAGGATCGCTCGCCCACGCCTGCCATGTAACCCGCCATGGTCGTGTCTTCGTCAAAACTGGTCGAGAGCACGAGCTCAATGTGACTTTCCAGATCTGGAAGGATCTGTACTCTACCCCTGAGGTAGATTCATCACCGCGAGCTAACCGCAGTCCGCCTGGTTCCTTATTTGGGTTAAGGAACGCGGCAGCGACCTAGTCAAGTTGGCTTCCGCAGGCTATGGTGGTACCCACCGAACCTCCTACCGAGGAATCTGGAGGATATGACTTAGATCAATCTGACTAGGCATGCAGCGATGACAACTTCGACCCCCGGTTTGTCGGGGTGATCATCCACAATATTAGTGAGGGAGGTACCGTACGGGACGAGTTGGTCGCTTCCGATTGTGGCTCAAATAGACACAGGGCCAATATTTC